TGACCTTTCCCATTTGTGAGTTAAATCACAAATGAACTTTGTTTGCCTTGCAATATGGATCTAAATGGCATTCCAGCTCTTACTTTGGCTAGACTACTGTGCAATCACTGTAATATGCAGGAAGAAGAGGTTGTAAGGGCCGTTTGAACATGCAGGGTAAAGTAAGAAAGAATACAGAAAGTCTGTTTAAAAAAAAAAAAAAAACAAAACTGAAAACCAAACCCAAACTCTGTATGCTGTGAAGTACAGTTGTTTGAATTCTCTGCTCTGCATTTCCCAACCTCCTCCCATTCTAGACTAATCTGCCCCACCCATTCTTCTTAATTACTGACATGGGCAAAAGGGTTAGTTTATACCAGTATGGTGTTGTGTGACTTGCGGCCAGAGATGGAATCTGATTTTGGGAGAGGCAGGAGGGTGAAAAATTTGAGATTCCTAATAGAAACTTAGACTTAACAAAGTGCTAAACATGCATCTTTTTGAGCACTACGCCTCTTCTAGGTGTTGAGGATGAATTATCCTAAGTCACTAAGCTATTGAGACGGATCCCTAGTTTTAATGAGCCAAAACTCTTCTGTAAGAAATAGCGGATGTGGACTTCTGTTCTGCTAACACACCCACCAGGCTGTATAATTTCTCTTGGGGGTTAGTCCATTTTCACTTCAGTGGGACTGCTTTATGTGAGTGGTGTTTGCAGGCTGAGGTTCTTGCTGGGCATTTTAGAAAAACAGCTTGCGAGGAAGAGAATATGTTACCTGCGGGCTTTTTGCGAAAGGTTAAAATGCTTTCCTATTTTCTCTACGTAGTCCAGGGACAACCTCCCAGGGGAAGCTGCGAATGTGGAAAGAGTTGGCCTGTGGTTGCTCCAGATCAGAGCCAGCTGAGTGGCCTCTGCCTGCACTTTGCACTAAGTGGGTTGGCTGTTATCTGTGTTTTTTAGGAAGGCTTTGCAACATCTGGGAACAATTCTCTGACAGGCTGCTGGGGATGTGCACTATTTCCTATTGGCTGGCAGTGACGTCATAGCTGTGTGCGAATCTCTCTTTTTTTCTTCTCTATAATCTAGGTGCCAGCAGATAGTACTTGTCTTGTTTGTGTATAAGGTTTTTAGATGCTGTGTATGTAATTGCCGTTAGAATTGTCATATAGAACTGTTTTGTCTTCTACCATACAGTGGAACACGGGAGTTAGGATTGTTGAATAATCTTCAGCAAAGTGCGTTGTTGTCTTTTGGAACATAACTGGGGCAGTGAATTCAAATCCAAATAAACAGATTCCTGTTGATTTCTAGTGTAGAACATAAAGTGATATCAGGGCCTGCGTCTTCTCTTGACGGATTTCATGTACCCTCACTCACCTGCTGATGATCTTAATATCATATAGGAGGCAATGTTTATAGAGTTGTGTGGGAAGTCTGACCCAAAGTGAAGAGGATGTTAATGCAATACTGTGAAGTAGATCTTCTTCCGGGTTCCTCTTAACAGAGAAGGGAGGTGGGGGTCGCTGTAAGCCTCCCTAACCTTTGAGGTGCCAGAATGAATTATTGGGAGAGGACTGGAATCCTAGTATATGAGAATGAAGCCTCGCTAAGGGGCAGGTGCAGCCAGGAATGGACTGCTAGAATCTGAGAAAGAGGAGATGGGGAAGAAGCAAACAGGGTAGTGTGAAGGATTTGGGACTGGAAGAACAATAGAAAGAATGTGCCAGCTACAAAGCTCTAGGATTTTGAGGTCTTCTCTTTGTTAGAGTAACATTATGTGGTTTTGTTCTGTTATGCGCAAGAATTCTGAAATTAGAGTGAATTCAAGTTTTAATTGAAGGACACTGTCCTTTTTCTAGCTGTGATCAGTAGATCACAGGTAGGGAAAAGACCTTGAAAGAAATCTTCCTTCCTTAGTCATGCGGCAGAAGCTGTTGCTGTCATTTGCAGGAGCACGGGTACACTCAACCACTCTGCGTTGCTTGGTTTCAAAGTCAGTTAGTTGTCTTTTATTTGGTGATTTCTGATGCAGAAATTTTATTTGCTGCTCCAGGAATCGCTTTCAAGTTTACAGGACAAGAGGTCAGCATCCCTTCCAAAGGTGATTCATGTAAAGGACTCAAAAGAGGAGCTATCTCTGTGGTCACTGCCCAGTGTACACATCTGCCTATTTTTAGCTGGGGTGGGGAACATACAAGAAGAACAGAACGTACAGAAGAAGAGTCACCTTCTACCTGCTGCAAGAATCTGGAAGGGTGAGATACGGGAATAGGATTATAGGATCCCTCCTATTCTTACTCCACATGTTCTCTGGGGAGGCAGGCGACCCTGTGTTTAAAGATAACTTGCCGCAAAGTTGCGGTCAGTGGAATTGAATTTGTTTCACAGATACTCTGCTATACTAAGTCACGAACAAACACCTGAAATGCTTAACAGAATCCAGATTACTTTAATCTGAGATAACGTTATGTCTTGTCAAGCAGGAAAGCTGGCCTGGTGAACAGAACACTGAACTAGCACGCAGATATTTTAGTTCAGGCAATCTTGGGCATGTCCTTCAGTTGTCTGTTACTTGGATTCCCCACTGAATAAGCTGTAAGTAGATATGATTGACACTGTGCTTGCAGAACTCGAGGGCAGTAAGGCTGACATGAGGTTTCAGCAATCTAAGGACTGTGAACAGGTGTTTGCTCTGCAAAAGTGTGCACTGTCAGAGGTTGATGCCCTAGCTGTTTTGCAGCGGAGTGGTTTGTGAGAGCATTCCCTGACCTGCTTTGGGCAAATAGCTCATAGAGTTTAGATATGTGATGCAATGCAACTGATATTTGCCTGAAGCAGTTTAGTAGGTGTTCACTCCAACCTTACTGTGAGCAAATTATGGGTGCAGCAGTTTCTAGGTGTTTGGTGGTGAAAAGGGAGATGTGCTATCGTTGTCCACTACAGCTGGATCTGAAAGAGGTCACCTATTAAGAATTTAATACATGTGGCTCTTCAATTAGTTCAGACCTAGAATGATAGAAGGGGACAGATGATGGAATCATAGAAAGAAGTAAAAATTTTATTTTGAAACCCTATTCTTGTCTTTCTGTGCCTGTATGTTGGGAAAGGTCTCTTTTTACTTGACAGCCAATTTTCTTAAAGCTGTTCCTTCTAGCCCAGGTCACCTCCTGTGTGAAGCTGAGCAAGTTGCTTCATTTTGCTTCAATTTGTTCTCAGTACAGTGATATGAGCAATGCTGCCTCACTTTTTCTCGATCTGTTAAGTGCAGGCAGTCCTCAGTAGGGTTGGTCTGCATAGGATGCCTAGCAAATAGGAGACAATTTTTGTACTGATAATGGATATAGTATGATCATTTATAATATGATCAAGTCTTTCAGATAGTGAAATTCTAATTTCATTTTGGGCAAGATCCAGCATGTTGGCCATCTGCGTTCCTGGTTTAGGTAGGAGAGGATAGGAATTTATTTCACCATTGCTGTGCTTTTTAATAAAAAATTCTTTGACTACTTAAATTAGGAGGCGAAGTGGAAGCAGAACTGGAACTGCTATTTTGGAATTACCATGTTCTGTTTGCAGAGATGGATTAAAGGGCATCTAGGACCAGTGCACGTTTTTGATGTACATCAGTGGTGCAATATGAACTGTGCATGGTTCTTCAAGGATTTAAATTCTGTTTATCTGTGTTGATTATTTTAATCTCAGCTTTGTGAAATCAGGAGTATCCTGTCTTTCTGGGTTGGGGAACTGAGGTACACGTGCTGCTTTTCTTATCGAAGATTTTACTGAATCACTAGTAGAGAAGGGACCAACACTGTCCGGTTCCCAGTGTACACTTCAGCTAGTTTCTTCCAGCATCAGAAGGATTTTGAAAAAGTTAATGTGGAAAATTAATCTCACCTGGGTATACAAAAAGCTCCTTTAACACAAAGCGTCTCTGTCATCTTTTGCAAAATACAGAATCTGTGTTTTTTAATGCAGCATTTCTGGCAAAATATTTGATAAGTAGATACTAGGCTGGTGGATAAATTAGGTAGATCTATAGATGTATATAGATGTTTGGTGTTTGTAGTGGGAAGACTGATTGTTATGCCATATCTCCGTTAACTATTTCTGTGTGAGCACTGTGTGTCAAGTGTTCTGTATCCTTCCTGTATACTCTTGTTGGCAGGCTGTCAGGAGCCTTCAGCTTCCGTGAATGCAGATGCTGGTGTCAGTTTTGAAGGTGTTAGTTATAACAATGTAGTTTTATAAAAGTTTTCAGGTTGTTACGGATTATAGAGGAGTATACCCTGCACACCCTGGTTTTCACAGCATATTTGGGAAATGTTATTTTGCAGCTCTGCCTTCAGGGACTATTAAGAGACAGAACGGGCTCAAGACGCATGAGTCTGACCAACATGAGGAATTTGGTCCTCCTTCTAAAGTTTATGGGTATTGAGATTTGGTGGATTTTGTTTTTAGTTCAGACACCTAATGGGATAGGGGGCAACCCTGATTTGGCTCTTGGCCAGACTAGTTTGTGAATTTTCCTTTTTTTGAGGGTCTTCGTATAACAAGTTACAGCATATTTGGGCATCAGACTGTCAAGTTTCAGCTTTCGCTTTTTATTTTTATCATAACAAAAACAGACTTAAAATGCAGTCTTGCAGTGTGCGTGCGTTTCACAAGGGATCCTGACAACTTGCATGCCTAGGAAACACAGAGGATTCGGAAATGACAGGTCATAAGAAACATTGCGTTCCCTGCCCAGTGTGACTGTGCTGAGATAAAGAAAACTCTGTGGTGCTCACGGGAACTTTGTGCATCTCCTAGCTGGTGGTGTTTTCATGTTGAGATTGAATGTAACAGGCTTTTGTAAAGGATTAGCAGGAATCCATGCAACTAGACACCAAGCACTTCCTCTCCCTCTAGTCCTTCTAGATGCTCACAGAGTATGCAGAAAAGCAGCGGCTGAACACCTTATGTCAAGGTGGAGAAACCTGTACAAATGTGTCTAATTCTCTGTCCTTTCTGTTGACAGCTGGTCCTGGCTGAAAGCTCTCACTCTGACACGGGTTCCCAGTGCACCGAGAGCCACACAGATCTTCCGCCTCCCATTGAGAGAACAGGTGGCATTGGAGACTCCCGGCCTCCATCGTTTCAGTAAGAGAAAGTTACCTCTTTTCTTTTTCTCCTTTAAACCCAAAAATGCAATTCCTGTCTGCCTCTTCTCTAAATTTCTCCCTGCTGCTGCAAACCAGCTATTTATTGTTATTGTTAGAAAAATAATACACTTATTAGATTGAAGAGTTAAGATGGAGATGGGAAGAACAAAATCTGTCATTCTTAGAGAGAAATAAATGTCCTTTTACGTCTCATTTTGAAGCCCACTGTGGAACAATTAAGTAGGAAAGGAGATCAGAATGCTTTTAGTGGCATAAGGAGGACAGCCTTTTATTACAATTATGTAGTGTGCAGAGACAGCAGAACACTGATACCACGAGTAAAAATTTACTTAAGGAATAATATTTCCTCCCTGTGCATACAAAGGCTAACAGCTTGGGCTGCGTATAGCCAGACTAGTTGTCATCTGATTTAATGGTAGCCTCGTTATTTCCTGTTACACGTGCTGAACCAGTATGAGTCCTTGCATATTCTCTTATTTTCAGGGAGGCACTCTGAATTTACCTAAGGGGGATTTAAAGCAGGGTCTGGTTCTGGTTCTGAATAATATATAAAATATTGGAAAATTGTAATCTTATTTCCTGTCCATTTCATGGCACAGCAAGTGGCTTCTCAAGGACTAGGTGTGCCTGAAAGCTAGCATGGTGTCTTGTTTTTAAATATTGCCCAGACCAAGCCTGAACAATGCTAAACTTTGAAGAGTTCAAGTTCTGAATTTTACAGCTTTCCTTTTCTTTTTTTTTGAATTTAATTAATTAAATGTATTAATTTTTATGTGGTGAACCTAATACCTGACCCCAACTTCAAAGCTAGCTTCCCATGCATTGATTCTTTAGGAAGATGAAGTTCTGCATTTAAACTTTGAACTGCAAGTCAAAAAAATAGTAAATTAACACCAGCTGATGCACAGTGAATAGAAGCGACTGACAGACAAGTTTCTGCAAAGGCTTGTACAGTGCTGGAGCACCTACCTGCATCGGAACTGAAGCCCAAGTTCCTATCTTTCTCCTCTTCCTCCAGCTGCCAGAATGCTCACCTGCACCCCCTGATAACCAGATGGTATTATTCTCTAGGACTTTCTTGCAGCTGCTGTAAATTTGGTGTTAAAGTCTAGATGCAGTCTTTTTCTATGTATAGTGAATAATCCTGCCCCATCTGTCCTAAGCTGTAAAAAGGGTAGCTTGCCTAGCTAATTGAGCTTTCAGTGCCTCTTGCATAGTATACTTGGCAGAGTTTCTCCTGCTCGTCACATCAGTGAGTGCTGAAGCTGGCTTCAGTTCCTGAATAGGCCTTGTGCTGCAAGGACCGGAGTGGTAGACAGCCCTAGTATGTAGGGGTTGACATCTGTTTCATTTCCCAGCCTTGGCCCAGCCCCTTGCATTTCCCTCCGCATTGCTGACATTAACAAATAACCAGAAGGATGGGCTAATGCAGGGAGCGCAGCCCCAGCACTAGCAATCCAGTGGCTCCTGTGTTTTGAGAATGAAACCTAGTCTTGATTTGGCTGTTGTCACGTTTTTCTGTTGCTTTCTGGGGTGTCTGAGTCTTTTACAGATAAATGCCTTCTGGAGGGGACAAGAAATCTTGGGAAATACTAACGCTGACTGACACTGCATTTCTTGCAAGGGTTTTGCTGCCCTCGTGTGTTTATGAGTTACTTTATGTTGGCAGGGAGAGGCCTGTATGAGTGCAATCACATGACCGGCAAGTATAACTAGTCCTTTGTCTTTCAGACCTATAGCTAAATGTAATAACTGCAAGATCAAATTTTATTTAAAAATAAAATTAAATTACATTTTAAGTTATAGGATCATGTGTGTAAGACCCACTCACTGCTAATAACTGTGCGTAATAAGACTGAAGAAAATTAACCTGTGCTCTGCAAATTTATCTGCTGTCCTTCATAGCACCCTCAAAAATACTGTGTCTTCTTGCCCCCAGTCAGCACAGTGTTGCAAGTGATATTACCTTCATATTACAAAGCGAATGTGGGAAACCTCAAAGAGGTGAAGTAACTTATACAAGTCATGCTGTCTCAGGTGTAGCAACACAGGAGGTCCTTTTTTTTCTGGCTTGAGTTCTCGTTCCTAGGTAAACCATCTTCTTCCTCCTCTTTTTGCCTCTCTCTGCCCCTTTTTTACTTTTCCTTTTTTAAACTGTGGTAGAGATTCTGACTTCAGGTCCTGGCTTGTGGGCAGGCCTTCTGAACTAAAACGTGCTCTCCCTTAATGCCTTTTTTAAGTCCAGAAGGGAATCTAATGATGACCTAATCTTACCTCCATGACACAGGGCAGAGAATCTCACTCGGTTACTCCGGTTACACCAGGCCCTTAATTCTGTTTAGCTATTAGCGTTTCATTTAGAAAGACATCCAGTTTTCCTTTAAGGATTCCAAGTGATAAAGAATACACTGCAATCTGAGATAATTTGTCTCAGTGGTTAGTGACTCTTTATTAAAATTGTTTGCTGTATTCCTCATCTGGATTTGTTTAGCTTCAGCTTCTAGCAATTTCCCAGTAGATTAAAGAACCATCCAGCGTCAGGAACTGCTTCCCCCTGTGGATATTTGTAGACAATGATGGTAATCTCTTGATCTGCTCTTGGAGAAACTTAATAAATTGAGCTGTTCAAGTCTTTCAGTGTAAAGCATGGCTTCCTGAACATGATTCATTACTGTAATTCTCTTATGATCCATTTTCAATTTTTCAGCGTTACTTTTAAAGGATAGATCTTGGGAAATGGCGTGTGCTGATTCTGCAGTACTGTCTCTGGTGGTACTTCTGCTTACTGTCCCCTTGAGTTGTGTTTTCCTCTAAGATAGCAGTAGTGCAACCCTGCAACTTTCACAAGCCTAACTTCAGTATCACTGTATTCCCACATATCACACCCCCCCCCCAATGTGACTTACCTTCTTAGATCACTGAGATTTTTTTTTTAATGCCTCTAAAACCACCACAGACATGATATCTCTCTTCCTTCTTCAGTAATGGTTATGTAAAGATAATTGGGGTATTATTTGTATGAAAAGCCCAGCTGAGCTAGATATTGTGTAACTGCGCATACAGAAATGCGGAAATGTTGCTGGCTTACACAGACTACAAGAAATGGATGGGGTGGACAGATCAGAAGGCAGTATCGGCAAAGGGAATAAGGTACATATGAGAGGGGAAGTTTGGTTCCAGCTAGGTGTTTGACAATGTTGATGATTTGTTTCATCGTTTATTAAATCCAAAGGAAATATACTTCCCTCCCCCCTCCCCCCCACTGGTGGGGGTTTGGAAGCTTGTCTTCTATTTCATACATCACCACTTCTGTTTGCTAGTAAGCTGGGCATTGAGAAAGCCATGCTCATCCTGAGTGGTTGAGGCTGCTCATAGTTTATTGGTGGAGGAGCATAAGTGAGTTGAGAGTAGTCAACCTCTGAGCTACCTTTCTTACTCTTGCCCACAGCTCTTGGGTATGTGCACTAGAAATTTAATTTAATTTGCTCAGCTGTGAGAGAGAAAACAAGCCAACTGAGAAGTTCCTTCTGTACCCTTCATTTCTGCTCATTTAGCCTAGTAAACTGGGTAGTAATGAATAGTAACAGTGGTAGTCACTAGATGGTGCTGCTGAGATGGCTTAGAGTCTCTTAGGGACTGGCTGTATAACTCCCAGTGCCCACCTTTGTGTTTAACAAAGGCAAGAGACCCTACGTTAGGAAACAGTCACTCTCTTCCCCTCTTCAGCTGACCAGGACTGAAACAAGAAATGCAAATGTACTTGAGACAACACTTAAAAACGTGCTTGTATTTGGATAGCTTCGTTAGGGCTTAAAGTGTGCGTTCAAATGTTTTCTGGAATAGGGACCTCTATTTCCTAATTTATATGGTGGGCATGTCAATACATTTCATTCATTCAAAGGAAGTTTGTGCAGTTAGAGAAGGCTTTCAGCAGTTGTCTTTAAATGTAACACCATGCAGATGTGCTTGCACATATACCTGTTCTGAGTCCAGCTAAATTGTGTATATTGGTCTTGGACGAGCCCTCGTTTGACTATCCAGCCATCAGGCTATGTAGCTAGGTTAATGCCCAGGTTCAAGATTAGCCTTCAGAGAAAGAACTCTTGGTCAACAGTGTGGCATTTTGGTAGAGGTACAAGGAAAGCAAGCAGGAGTAGCAGCAAGAGATATGGGCTAGCAGCAAAACTGTTGTTTTGTGGGGGCATCCTACAAGCTCTCAGTGATATTATCCTAGTGTTATATTTTTTTCATCAACAAAGAAAGTCTGCAAGGTTCATGCAAGTTCCCTTCTTGCCCCTCATCACTTTAGGGTATGTCTGAGTGAAAGGGATGTAATTCACAGATCGATAATTTTTATTGAAAAAGTTCTGTTGCCTAGCCTCTTTTAGGTTCATGCTTAAGGATACGAAAGAAGTACCAGAGCTCTTAATGAAGCTTTTCTGATGGGTGGAATTTGTGGGTCAGAGAGGAAGAGTATGAGCAATAACTCATATTCCCTTTTAAGGGAAATCTTTCATAGCAGAGCATTAGCCTATGTCAGACCATGTTCATTTTCAGGAGCTGTAGGTCAGTTTCCACAATATAGTCCATTAAAAAGAGCTTTGGCTCTTTTCAGCACTCCAAGAGGCTTTTCTCATCGCTTTCCATGTGCGTACCTCAGGGTAGTTTATGAAATGTAAGAATGGCAGAGATCCATAAAACACATTGAGCCTGAGGGGAAAAGTGAAGAGCCAAGCTAATTCTGGGCAAGGTTAAAAAGAGTATCTCCCTCTTTGCTCCAGCCAGCTGCACTTTAACATGACCTTTTTTTTTTTTTTTAAACTCAGCAGAAATCTTGAAACAGATGGTTGCAAATAAGTGGTCTTACAGACTTAGTGCTTTGTATTCCTGCCACTGTTCTTGGCTAGCAGACTTGACTCATCTACTAAAATTACAGGTGACAGGCAGTATGGTTTGTATGAATTGAGAAATGGCCATTTCTGAATGTCTGGAAGTTCAAGAGTTAGGGAGCTGTTGTTGATGTTTGTTTAGATTCATCCCAGAAAGTGGTCCTGAACCATGGGGGCAAATTCTCTGCTTTCTCTTTGAAACCTTTTTTTCTGGCTAATTATAGTAGTGGAAAAGTTACTCTCAGCAAGTAGAGCCGTCACAAAACCAGAAGAAATCTGGCCACTGAGGTGGTCATCAAGGTCCTCCTGATCTTTGCCCAAAGTTTACCTGTTCATAATGGCCCTTCACTGGGACTTGCTAGATGGAGGACTGTGCTGCACTGATGTGACTGGGTGACTTTCAAACAGCTGAGAGCATGAGGGGAGGATCTGAGATCTATTTGTACATCCTACAGACGTGCACTTAATTATTCTCAGCCTTGCTGTGACTTGTAAGACTTCAGCCTTCAAGGTCACAGCTCTGTATTAAAAGTGGCTGCAGTGAGTTGTGATTTCTGCCCCCTGGCTGTTAGCATGCCATATGTCTAGCTCAGTTTGTCAGGGAAATAAGCCTGTTTGTGGATGAACAAGCAACCAAGGAAGTGAGCTGAAACACTGGGTTTAGAAAGCAAGACTCTGTCCTAGGTATACACCTTTGGAATACTGTAGAAAAGGCAACGTTCACAGTCCTGGTACTTCTTTGAGAATAACCCCCTTGTAGAGCATGTCCTCTGGCAATACCAGAGGAGCTTATACATACTTGTATATGCTTCTTGGATATTTGATCTTCAGAATGAGCTTGGGAGGATTTGAGAGATGTGCAGGAACTTGGGGTGTTTTGGAGGTTGAATGGGTGTGAGAGTCAATGACCTTTGTTCTTCCAAAGGGTGTTGTGTTTGCTCCAGTGTTAAGCAGGTACGCTGCTAATTTCTGATATTAAAGCTCTCATGATGGGACTTAGCTGAGCTCCCAGCTCCTGTGAAGTGTTAGCTGCAAAAGCTGACTTTCTGTTGCCTTATCAGTGCGCCAGAGGTCTGTTAAAGAGCAGTGCACGTTTAAAAAAAATTCCTTTTCTTTGCCCATCAACAACTTTTTCTCCACACAGATTTCATGCAAAAGTCTCGTGGCAGCTTTTTTCATGTAATGATGATACTACCTGTGCAAATAGTGCTATGTCTCAGGGCAGGGAGATTGAACTGTCATTTCACCCTTCAGGTGGTTTTGGGGTGAGCAGAGCAGTCTGTGGGGGAGCTTGCACTGCTGCTGCCCAGACTAGCTAATCTATATGATAGTCGTCTGGGTCTCCTGAACCAACGTTCTCACGAATGCAACTGTGTTTTTATCAAAAGTGACACCAATGTTTCTTCCTATTTGTCCTCTTACAGTCCAAATGCTGCCAGCAGTCGAGATGGATTGGACAATGAAACAGGAACAGAGTCAGTTGTTAGCCACCGGCGAGACAGACATCGACGCAGGACTAGAGAAGGGCATGAAGATGGTGAGTTTCTTCCCCTTTTTCATTCACAAAGAGCAATTTTTCTGTTAGTCTTTCAGAGCCAGAACTACTTTTGCATGAATACTGCTACTGAAGAGAAGTGTGCCTGGGTTCCTGTGTACTTTCAGGGACTATTATTATTTTAATGGGAAAACTTGATAATTGCTTTGAAAGACTTTGAAGCTCAGGATTTTCTAGGAGGTCTGGACAGCCTACAGTAAAGCGGCAGGGAGATTCTATTTGACGATATAAAGAAGTTTCTGTAGCTTTAGGAGATGATCAGTCTGGAGAGGAGTGAAAATTTAGCTGATGCTAAGCTCCATGCTGTCATGGCTAGACTGCCTCCGTTATTCAAGTTTGCTCATTTAAAGGTAGGTCACATTATCCGTATGATGTGTTAGTTTGCTGCGTAGACAGTTTGAGAGTCTTATGTTTTAACATTGTAAGATCTGAGCCCGATTCCTCTGAAATAGTTTCTGATTTCTCTAGACTTCGGTCAGCAGTACTGTTTTATGCTGGGATAACTATGGCACATTGGCTCAGATGATCCTTTTTTTAAACATATGTACATCCCAAGTACATGCATAAATTACAGAACCTCGGCTCTTGCTTCTAGTGTATGCGTCAAAGTAAGCTTGTTTTTTCATTCATTGCCAGACAAGAATTTCCAGGCTTAATTAAGAGGTAATAGGTGCCAGCCATTGAGTCTAAAATGGTCCCAAATCTGGAATACTTGGGCCCAAGAGATGCCGTCACAGACTTTATTCACAGACCCACCCACTAAAATATTTGCCTCCAGTTAGAAAACAAAAAGCTATGTATATATTCTGTATTAGAAGCAGGTGTCTTTCTGTTTGTTTAATACTTCCAAATTGTCGGTGGCTCAAAGTGAAAGAAAATTACTCGAACAGTGGGTGGAGGAACGAGCTGTCTTTGCATGGTACTGACTGCACGTTCATTTGGAAAACCACAAAGTGAGAATCTTCTAATACGGTCAGAAAGGTTATTACTGCAAGGATGTTAAAAGGTGATTTGTTTTTAATGTTAGTTTTTTGCCTGTCTCCCTAGAAGTGACTGCATTAGACGTGCCCGTGTGAACTTGATAAGGGGGAAGCATGAAAAGACTGATTTCTTAGTCTCTCTTGTCTTTTCCTTTTCCTCCTCTTCTGCATCACTTAATGCTGCATTCCAGAAGAACAGAAGGGAAGTGCTGAAATTCTTCCTGGATTGCTTGCCTCCTGTTTGTTTCTCCCTCCCCCCTTTCTTTTTTCCTTCTCTCTAAAAAATGCTAGATCTTTTATGTGATTTCTGAATATTTTCCATTCTGATCTCATGAGGCTGCTATTGTAACTCCTTAGGTAGAACAGAGCAAAGCATCCCTTTCAAGGATGCCGTTGACTTGACCTCCTGTGCCTTAGGATTCCTGAGTGTTATGCTTAGTTTAAGGTTCAAGACTGAGATCTTCAGGAAAACGATGTTAAAGCTACTACAGAATGTATGATTCCACTGTAGAATCAGTTTACAAGTTTACTATGGGCCATCTTAAATGTAGTCCATGTCTTTTTGCTAGTTCATTTTTTGTATATTATAAGCTATCTCCATGTGCTATTTCTTTTCATTAGAGGCTTGCTCTTTAAGGTGCTGAGTTACACGTGACATTGCTGAATGTCCTTCATTCCTGGTAGGGTCCTTACCTGCTCATTTAGTGTATGGCAAGATAGGGCCTGAGGGCTGCTCACCAAAGAACTAAAAATGTTCTGTTGTCTCCATGTCTGCCTGCCTGTCTTAAAAGCATGTGATCTTTTCCATTCATGCGTGTCCCTCCCTTCCTTGCTAGCGTAGTGTGGCCAGAGCACATGTTGTAGACTGCCTTTGGATTAAGTGGATAGCTGTATATTATTACAGCTGAAACTGATTTGAGATTCAGAAGAGGCAGCTGAGAGATTCTGTACTTCCTCTGCTTGGCTTGGAATAAGTTTCTTCTTTCTCCTGCTCTTTCAACTCTGTTGTGAGCTGATCACTTGTAGTCTGCCTCCTGTGCTGCCTGCTCACAGCCAGAGATGGGAATAGGGAAGGAGGCAGTCTTGCTGTCAGAAATGATGTTCCCTAGACTAGCCAACATCATCTTTGAATGTCTGGGTCACCAAGCAGAGAGGAACTGCAAGGGACCCATCTATCTGGGTTTGTGAGGCTCTGGGCAAAATTTCCATTTCACTCAATCCATGAGAGTATTTATAGTCTATGTTTTCAGATTCAAGAGTGTCACTCTGAAAAATCAAACTTGCATGCAAGAACTTTGTTTTATTTGACTCTTTCCAGGCCCAAATTGCCACATTTTAATTTTAATTGAAAAACAGTTTATAAATGTGCTTCTTCTCTAGAATTGTTGAAGACTTGCTCCCTCAGTCAAGCCCATGCCTTGTGGAAGTCTTATCCACCAGGTGCGTCTGTTTCTGATTGCCTGATGTAAATCGTGATGGAAAAACTGTCCTTGTTTTACAGTGTTAGGAATGCCATCAGCATTTAATACAGGACACTAGCACCATGGTAATAAGTATCAAGTGACCTATGGTAAACTGAAGTACCCATAATTTCAATTCTTCAGTTAATTTTGAAGAGGCCGTCCCCAGCAGTACTGCAGATCTTACAGCAGTGCTGGGATTCTGGCTTAATGCTGAGTCAGAAATATGAACTGTCGTCTACCAAATCTTTAACACCACTTCTTATGGTTCTGAGAATATTCCTGATCTGCTTCTCAGTTGTTTAAATAGGTAGAACTAATGTGATTACGCTGTTAACTTTGCATGGAAGCTTTGTAAGGAGGAGTTTGTTTTTGGGTGACTCTTACAAAGCGGGTATGAAATTCAGCAAGAGGAAAAAAGAAACAGATTGCGTTTGCAGAATGGTTGGCTACCATTGGTTTAATGTGATGAGAAATGCCTCGGAACACTGCGTGGCAGGCACTTGCCTACCTGATCTTGTTATTTTCTGTAGGTGTCTTTTGTTCATCCTGGAGTCAGGATGTCCCATAGCAAAATGAAAAACGGCCTCTTTTCCCAGACTCTGTAGCACTCAGTGTTTTAAACAAAAGAAAATGAGAGAAATTGTGTCTTTTTGCTGGGTAGCAGGTGCTGAAGATGCTGAAGTGTGCAGGCTGTAACTGCTGTTGTCTTTTCCCAGCTGCTCCATAGTCCTGTTCCTCTGGGACTATGAGCCCATTGAGTCTGCTGCAAGCTTTCAGCCTTTGGTCTCCTTTCTCCTCAGTACTGTTAATTTGCTGCCATGTCAATCACTTGGTTTCTAATTTCAGAATTACAGTTTGCAATGGGAAAGTGTCTTTTTCACTTAGTAGATGTACTGGCTGCTGCTTCCCACTGTTTCACTGTGAGATCCCTGGGTCCTGACCTGTCAAACAATGACTAGAATATATCTTGTCAGGTCTCCTTACCAAGTGAATATGTTTTTGGTTGCAATTTGATGTTGTGTTAGACAGTCGTTTGAAAGGACTTCACCAAAATACATAGTTCAGCACCATATCCTGGCTGCCATTTAAAAAAGATTAAAGGAAGTGAAATACCCTTACTATGGAGAAAATTTTAAAGCCCTTCTATGACAAATGTCATATATTAGCAGAGACGTTCTTTTCTGGAGTCTTCATGCCTTCTTTGCCTGGAGCAGAGATGGATGTACAGTGGAAGAACAGGCATATGAAAAGGCAGACAAGGGTGGGGGCCAGCAAAGTTGTGACACCTGGTTCACAGCCCTCTTTGGGGAGCAGAAGCTGTGTGCATCACTTATCATTATAAAATAGTAGTAAATCCACTTTTCTCTACAGAAAAAAGGAAATGCAGTTAGTGCGTTTGACCTTGCCCAGTAGAGACTTGTTTAAATAATACCAAAATTATAGCTCCAGTAATTCACGGAGAGGCAGACTGAATGATGCTCACTGGAATGCTGCATTGCTTTTAGCTTTGTCCTGTGGGTATTCATTATGCTGAGTAGCAAAACATACGTATGGTACTGCTAGATCACTGAGATACAGTAACACACACTCCATAGTGTTCGTAACTGTTTGAGCTCATCATTGGTATGAAGTGAATGATTAATTGCCCACTCTGACGAGACAGATATCCCTGGATGTTGTTCCACAGGAAAGAAGTACCTGTTCCAGAAGAAGAATTGAACAGTTTATTGTAGCCTTTGTTATAGCCTTTGTTTAAAACAAGATGAAGTGAGAAAAGATTTTAATGAGCTGTTTGGGAACTGTATAGACATAGGCACATTGAGCTAAAACCTAAAGACGTCAGGCAGACTTAGATTCCACTAATCCCTGCTCCCTATGGAACTGAGGTCCGACAGGATGAGGTTCTTGTTCTGACTTGAAAAAAACAAAGGGCAGGGAAGAGAAGGGAAGCAAAACAAAGATCTGTTGGGAGTACAGATAAAATGAAAATCACCCAAAGACAGCATAAGTAGAAGAGCAAAATTCTAACTGTGAGCTGTGCAGAAAACTCTCTGTCCTGTCAGCCTGATGTTTAGGAACCACTGTTGTTTTTGGAGCGTGACAGAAGTTTTCTTTTAATTTAGCTACTGGTTTTTGCTTTGCTCCCCCTTTTTAATTTACACAGTTTGAGGAGTCTAGGTGATGATGAACTAACCAGATTGGATGATAATTAAGTGTAGCATCATAGGTGGATTGTTCACAAATGCTGACCTGCACACTTTACTTCATTGTTGTGGGATTACTCCTGATAGAAAAACTACTTCCGTTGAATTGCTAATGTGCAATTGTGGACATACAGACGCCATTGTAAATATTGATGGCATACGGCAGCCAGCAGCTGTGGGACACACCTGGTAATATTATGAAGTTTTCACAGCTCTTTCCATTTCTTTCTTGTGAAGACAGACATTTGAATAGGATGATTAAGAAAATTGACTTGTACCTAATAACAGTCCTCTGCATGCTTTTAGAGAGGATGTCTTTCTGAGTTTGCTGAGTC